GCGTGCGCCTGACCACACATTCTTCTTTTATTACTTAAGTACATGACTCTGTTCTTCTCCCCCAACATCTTTTCTTCATTTTCTTCTTCTGAAGCCTCAGAACTTGACGGGAGACAGAATACAACTATAATTTCATGGCGAACCCAAACCCCAGAAGTGACTGCTCAGACTCAGAGAAGTCTCATATGAAAATAAATTCCCCAGAGAGCCTCTCAAGGGGTGATCTCCCTAATTCCCACACCTTTCACCAAAAGACCAAAACCCCCTTCAGAGGTTACATCTGTCGCCGGGAGACGACAACCTTCTATGAAGGATGTGTTGTGGGTTCTTCAATCAACAACCTCCCCCCTGTGGAAGAACCAGAGGACACACAAAGTCTAGGAAGATACATGGGCCACAACTCTCGCACTAAGGACAACCCCAACCTGGTGTGTGCACCAAATACTGGCGTTGAAGAGGATGAGGACACAGACTCAGACAGCAAAGGAGCAGGAGCTGATCAAATTGTTACTGACAATGACCAGCAGATAAACAAGAATTCAACATTCAGGGGGCAACGGATTGACCACGTGGCTGGCTGGCCAGTAATTCAGCCTGTCAGTCCTAAACTCACCCAGGAACAAGCAGCAGAAGAGAGGAACAAGGAGGAGAGAAAGGAGGAAAGCAAAAGCAGTGAGGATGAGGATAAGGAAGCTGATAAACAAATTGAAAATGGTGAAAACCAAGATGAAGGCTTGCTAATGGGATCAACTGAACAAGAAAAAAAGGACGTGGAGATCAAGAACAACAAAGACATGGAGAGTAATAAAAAAGAGTATGTGGAGCTGTATGCACAAATCCAGGTGTATGAAAGATCTGATGACACCAGGCTACCTGATTCCACTGAGGACAAGGGAAAACAGAACAGTGAGAGTCACAAGGAGAAGGAAGAAATACAAATCAATGAAGAACCTCAGGACGCTGATAAACAAAGCCATGGCTATGACAAAGACGATGCCCTCCAGCTCCGAGATCCACCTGAGGAAAACTTCCAGCTGGGCAGCAGATCCCCTCCTCATCCAGCTCAGGTCCTGTGTGAAGAACAGTGTACATGTGAGGACCTGCCTGCCTGTAAACCACCAGGAAATACAGAAGTCACCCAAGTCCCAGAGATGCCAGCGATGCTCCCAGAAGATGAACCTGCTGAGGTGAGCACAGAGCTGCCTCCCGGGAGAGGATGGGACAGGACCAGGATAGGTGCTAGGTTAGACAGTGTTGGGTCAACACACCTTCCGTGAAGCAGGGCTGGACCCCAGGTGTCTGACAGGATCCGCAGGGGGAGGAAGACAGGAAAAAGAGGAGTCAGAGAGGAGATGTAGGGAAAACACCAAGGAGCACTGAAAGAGAGATGGAGGGTAGAAAGAAAGACAAAGGCAAATCATTATGCCGACTAACAAACAATAACAAAAAAAGTTTTTGGAGGGTCTCTGCTTCAGTGTTGACTTTGAAACTGGCCATTTACAGTTGGGCTACTTCTAGTAAAAGGAACTGAGTTCCATAAGTGAGTCAACACTGGCTGCACTGCTGGGAGGTTAGACTTGTCTAACTCATTGTCCTTTTCTCAGCAGATGCTGAAGATCAGCACTGAGTGGTCCTCCTCGGTCTCCTCTGGGGAGTCAGAGGAGGACGACCCTGGATCTGACACACAAACCACAACCTGTGTGAATTGGAGGCAGGCCTTCCGCCGGCTCCGGAAAAGAGTCCTCACGTGCCTGGGGAGGAGAGTGATGGTCAGCAGCCCACCAGCAACCCCAACCAAGAAAAGTCTTCCCACCTCCAAGGAAACCCACCCCAAAAGAACCCTCAGAGATTTATTCCCCACACCCCGTCCACTAAGCACACTAAGTGGTGTGATGTTGGCCCCACTTCTATAGTTCTACAGTTTTATTGTTTTTAATAAAATAAAGATTCTTGTTCTCTGTATCTGCTTCCTCCAGCACATCTTCTCGATGCAGGCTGAAAGGAGCCATGCAGAGGACTGAAATGTATTCTCTGCAACTTGCAGGTAGCATGGTGCTTCTTGAAGAGAAAGTGTGCTGCTTCTCTCCTTTCTCTCCTGCTGCCCAGGTTTTCTTCAATCTCATTGACTTTATCTCTTTCAGGGATTTCATCCTGTTTTGTCACTGACTCACATCCCCAGGTTTAGAAAGCAGTAGCACAACCAGGGTGGTGTGCTTTGGGGTGATCTTCCAGGGCCTGAGCAAGCGGCAGTGAAGATCCAGTCACTCAGGAAGATGACTCCAGTTGACAGTGTTTGGGGAGTGCAGAGAGCAATTCTCATGGTCCTGGGGCACCAGGCTGCTTCTGGCATTTTGGTGACTCCTTACACCAGGTGGGTCATGGTTTTTGTTGCCTTGGGTGACAATCACTGGATGGATGTAGAAGCATTTATTTTCACTGTTCTGGAGGTTGGAAGTCCACAAGTTGGCAGCCAACCTGGACTACATGGAGATACTCATGTACAGATGGGTACCTGCTGTATCCTTCCAGCCATTTTCAGTTCATGCACTCCTTTCTTGTGGGAGGGAAACTGGGTCCCAGCCTCCTGGAGCCAGTATGTGTATAGTCTGTCATTTCTGGCTCTAAGGCAGAAGGCAGAAATAGCATGGCAGAGGAAAGCTATTCATCACATGGGAACATGGGCCGGGGATTTAGCTCATTGGTGCCATGCTTGCCTCACAAGCTCAAGGTCCTGAGTTCAATCCTTCCCGCCCAGACCCCTTTGCAAAGGCGCCAGGCTTCCTCAGGAGACCAGTCACTGTGTTTGCATGAAGAAAGTGGAACTCTTCAAAACAAATCAAAACGAGCAGCTTTATTTTCTTGGTCTGTACTCGTTTCACCAGCACTGAGCAGTTAGCAGGTGGCGCTGCAGCTGAGTTCCTGGCTTCAGGGAGGGCTCCATTCCAAGGGCTCCCAGGTGGCCCCACAGACCTCTGCTCTCTTCAGGGAGCACCAAGGGCGGCATCTGGCTGGTCAGAGACACACGGTCAGTCACTCCTCCTGGCTTCTCAAAAGCCCGTAGTGCATGGGTGGTGGCTGGGCCTGGCAGAGGGTCACTGCAGTCAGTGGGGTGAGGTGAGGCCCCTGGGCGGGTTACCTCCCAGGGCAGGCAGAGCGAATGCTGCAGAAGACCAGTAAGCCCTCACAGAGAGGAAGACCAGGATTTCCTAAAAGTAAAAGCCAGGACTAGGACTTCAGAGACATTAAAGTGATGGTATGGGGTGCGGCTCGCCAGCCAGGTGCAGTGCCCAGCAGTGGAGTGGCGCCTTAGGCCTCTCCGAGGGCCGGAGCACCGAGGTCCACCGCAGGTCAGGTGTTTGCCAGCTGAGGAAGGCGGCGCTTCTCAAAGTCAGATTGTTTCCAGACTCTCTGAAGACAGAAGCGAATAAAGCAGTGGAAAATGGAAGGCTTTGTATTAGAAGACGGAGGAAGAAGGTTTGGTATTGAGGTGCACCCGCCAGATCGTTTTCTCGAGGACTTGCATGAGTGGAACGCATTTCCACCTGTCTTTGCTGTGTATCTAATGGAATGCCAGGGCGGTGTCTGAGATTAGAGCTATTTCTCCAGTTCTTCCTTACTCATTTAAGAAAAAGTCCTCCTTGCTGCTTCCTACTATTTCGCAGGCAGCTTCTCAGCTGGTGAATGACTGCTGGGTACAAGGCAGGCCAGGTTGGGCTCCTGAGATCCAGAGAGGTTGAGCACATAGCTTTTGAAGTCGAACTGCCCAATTTCGGTCCTTCCACTTATTAACAGATGAGTTTATACCCTAATCTCTCTTGGTTTACTTGTAAAAGGGAAGGTGATGGTGGCAGTGGCGCCACCTTCAATGCAATTATTCTAAGTGTTCAATGCGTAAATACAGGTAAAGGACTTCACCTTGCCATAAAGAAGGTCAACTTGAGTCATTTGCAGGAAGATGGATGCACCTTGAGGTCAGAATTTACAGCTAAGAACACCTCTGCTGGGATCATTGGTGGTGCTACATTTAGGTTGACTTGGAAAAATCTCAGCTTTTTCCTCAGTTTCTTTGTACTCACTGTTTCTTGTCTCCATGCAAAAAGTCCAGCAGAGAAGTCTGTTCTCCTTTAGGATGTTCTTCCTTTCTCCAGCTTCATTGTAGGAGTTCAGTTGGAGGAGAGAGGTAACGGGCCCCAGCGCCTCCTCCAGTTCAACATCACTAGGGAGCTCTAGGCTTTGAGAGCAACTGGAAATCCACTGGTAAAACTAATACCATATCTTACTTCCATTTGGCTCCCCAATTATTTCTTGGTGTGCTTAGCTCCATGTCAACACTTTCTTTAACTGTGATAAATTCTGTTCTCTCACTTGAGAAGGTGACATTTCATGGCAAATAAGTTTGGGAAATCTCCGAGGTCCTGAGTCGCACAGAACACGCCGAATCAGCCCGCTGCAGACAGGCAGGTCTGTGCATGCCCTACCGAGGTCCTGAGTTGCACAGCATAATACATTAATCTTGTCTTCCACTAGACTGTGAGCTCCAGTGTTAGCTCCCAGGTTAGTGTTACTGCATATATGTAAGCAATTTGTTAAATTAATGGATAACAGAATGAATTAATACCTGAAAGAATGGTTCTGAACAAAAATTCTGGTGGTACAGAGATAGCAGAATACATCAGAAAGATATTAGAGAAAGGCAATTTATGTGGTAATGGTTCAATATGGATTCTGATCACAGGAGAGACTGAGAAGTCAAGGATGGCTAAAAAGTGTCTATCTTGGATGATACAAATCAAGGGAAGGAAAACAGAAAGAGGAGAGTTTGGGGGCAAAAATGATTAGTTTAGGAAGAAAAGGTCCAAAGGGGAAGGGAAAGTGGGAGGGGTAGGGGAAAGAAAAGAAGGGAAAGGAATACATATGAGAAAAAAAATGGAAACAAAGTCTTTGTAAATAGGGAGGGGTGGAGGAGTTGAAGGGAGGGCAGGGGAAGGAAAAAAAATAAGAACCAAGATATATCATACAAAGGTACAAATTCCCAATGATGAATGTCATCATATTGTATACCTAAAATGTACCAATACACTTAATAAACAAAATGATTAGTTTAGTTAGTGACTCGGAGATACCTGTCCATGAATACCTAACAACCTAAGGGAAGAGAAAGTCAAAGAGCAGTTTAAAATTCATTGGTATATTTGAAGTCATCGAGGTAAGTGTGATCAACCATTGGTATGTTCAATAAGTAGAAAGGAGGAATTCAGATGGAAGCTCAGAAAGACTAGAATCTAAACTTTATATAGGTTGCACATCATCCTTAATCTGAAAGTCCAAGATCCACATGTTCTAAAATTTAAAACCTTTTGAGTGCAAAAAGTTTCAAATTTTGGAGCAATGTAGATTTTATATGCTTGGATTAGGAACGTTCAACTGGTAGACTCTACTCTACAGGTATTCCAATATCTGAAAAAGTCTGAAACATTTCTGGTTCCAAGCATTTAAGATAAGAGATACTCAACCTGTATTCTAAGAGATAAAAAGGAAAAACTGTAATCAGAGATAATGTGGAGTGCTAAGAGGCAAAGTTTGAATGGTTTCTCAAGCTAAAGGAGAACTTCCAATGATGGAGGAGTAAGACATATAGTGAGCAAAATAGTGTGTTCCACAGAGGGGTCGAGTGGCATAAGAAGCGTCCATTCGATTTGGTAAAAAGACATTACTGGTGATTAGGGTGAGGAGATTTTCTTGGGAGTCTGAAAGGGACTGTTTCAGCTGAATGAATTAAGGTCTGAATAGGAGTAAAGAAAGGAGAGAAAATAGGTTAGAATTTTATTTTCAATATTTATTTACTTAAAGGATAAGAGAAATAGGAGTGACCACTTGGGTAATTGTGTATTCATGATCCAATCAAAATGCCTTACATATGTGTTTGATTTCTTTCCTGAAATAGGAACAGCAATATTTAACTCACTCTTGAGTTAATGGTTGAGACTTTCAAGATGGGAGGGGCGAGTAGGAAGAACAGGAAAGATGAAGCAAGGTGATCAAAGATTCGGAGAAAAATGAGATCAGATTCACAGGTGGAAAAGACCATTTCATTCTCTGAGACAGAAGCAAGGAGGTCATAATGGGCACATGGAAACCATCTGCACTTCTGTTACTCTAAATACAAAAGAAGATCTTACATGGAAAGTAAGAGGAGCCAAAAAGTTTGAACAGTTTAGAAAAATGGCGAAAGTTTGCAACTGTTGCAATGGACATGGAAAAGAATGAGATTAGAGACAAGCAAACAGATTTGGCAGAAAGAGAAGTGGTTGCAATTCACTGGTCAAAATGGGAAATTAGCTGGGCGTGGTGGTGCACACCTGTAATTCCAGCTACTTGAGAGGCTGAGACAGGAAGACTGAAAAGTTTGAAGCCAATCTGGGAAATTTATCAAGACCCTGTTTCAAAATAAAAAGGCTGGGGGATGCAGGTCAGTGGTAAAACACTTGGCTACCAGGTATAAGGCCCTGGGATCAAAACAAGAATAAAAATTTGCTTGAAGTAATCCTTATTTTAATGCACAATACCCATTCTCATTGAAGGTCTACATGGTCAGCAGGCCAACTTGTGAACGAAATAGTTACATGACTATAACCTCTGTAGTAAATTCCTTGTAATGTTTATATAATTCATCAGCTCTATGGGCCTTTATTAAGAGAAAATGCCAACATTAGATTATTTTTATTTCAAAACCAGTCTTTTTGACATCTGCAAGGAATAACTTCAGGGAAAAGAAAACATATTAAAACAGACACTCTGCTCTCTTTTTAATAAACCCCACAGTTTAAAGATGTTTAAGAATGAATCAGATATAATCATCTCACTCTGAAAATTAAAACCCATTTAAGGATTGTGAGAGAGCCTTGATCCTGAATACTACTCTAGCTATTCATTTAGAATCTTTAATAACATTTGGAAAGTAATTAATCAACTTATGACAAAGATTCAAGGGCTGTCACCTTTCATTGTCATTAATGAAACTGTCTGGAGTTTTATCTGCACTTTTCTGGTGATTTAAAGAACACAATTTTTTGTAAGCTTTTTGAAGACAGAAGAATGTTTAAAATCACTGGGCCTTGATGTACAGATTTCAATGAACAATCCAAGTATGTGTTAGTGAGACTAAAATAAAATTTAGAAGTCTCTTAATTTTGACAAGATAGAAAGGGAATTTTGAAAAAGCCTCAAATACATATTCATTTCTGTCAGAAGGGAGCTTTTCTTCTGTCAACAATTCTGCTTTTGATGCTTCTTTATATAATTCAATAGAACTTAAAATATCATACTATTTGATACTCATTGAAAAAAAAACAATAGTGAAGGTAATATTTTAAATCCAACACTTCAATTAGGT